CACCATCACCTCCAGGGAGATCCAGACCGCTGTGCGCCTCCTGCTGCCCGGTGAGCTGGCCAAGCACGCAGTGTCTGAGGGAACCAAGGCTGTCACCAAGTACACCAGCTCCAAGTAAACTCTCACTGCCGCAAACTCAACAAAGGCCCTTTTAAGGGCCACACAAATATCAATGAGAGCAATTGTTTTCTTTGTTAAGGAGGGAATGTTATCTGGTCACAACTATGCATTTATATGGAAGTTAAGAGCTGTAAATCTACAATAGAAACGTAACTGGTCAGCCTGCAGTCTAGGTTAAAACTAACTTTTTATTTGATTTCAGTTTTACAGAAAGTAATGTAGTTGAGACATCTGAAAGTTGTTCTCTATATGTACAATAAGTTAATCTTGAAATGACATTTTTGCTGGCAAAATGTAATTTGGGATATTCATAAAGATTTGAGTGGTAGGAATGTAGTTTTGACGTGTAAGAAAAGTATTTTAGAGATCTATAAATGGAACAAGAGGCCAGCACTTCTAATATACATCTCTAGTGCTAAATCCATTATTCATTTTCATACTTCATCTTTAGACAGTTTAGTTTAAATGAGCAGATGTATGCCACGCAAATATCAACAAGAGCAATTGTTTCCTTTAACTTCTAAATTGAGGTGGGAGGTTGGTATTCTGGTCAGTGTTCGTATTGACAACTTCTAAATTTGTCATTTTCCTGATACCTCAGTTAAAGGGAGAAACATTTCATAGACTATGTTGTGCCGTTTTCTCAGGTGAAGAATGCATAGAGGAAAGAATTTCCAGCTTTTGAGGCACTTATTTGAAAACGGCACATACTGCCAAATCTAGTGTCATTATGAAACACTGCACAGTATAACGCACAACCACATCTATAGTCCTTGTAAGAAATTAAAGTTCCTGAGGCATTGAGGTTAGTTGGATAAATGTGTCCAAAATGACATGTTTCCCTAAACTAACAGAAAATTGCATCTGCTCAGACTAGGACAACTTTTATTGTCATTTTGTATACAATATATGTAAGAAATTTCATTTAGTAAAGCTTTCAGACAGTAAATTAACATTTCCATTAAGTGCAGCAGTGATCAAATTTAAACACTGGGAGAAAAAATATGGTGCAAAAACACATTGATATGGAAGTACTGAGCATTAATATATGGGTGATTCTTTAACTATGGGCAATATTGGTTTTGCAAACTTGATAAAGTATAATTACATATAAATTCTCACAATGTAATCTGTTAGCATAACTAGTCCAGTTTGAAGATTCATAAGAGAACACACTGATTTTTCTTGAGACAAATTGGTGTTTTTTTAACAGAATTCCCAACTCTGCTGGCACAAACGTAATCTCCATCACATAAATATTTGTCATTTATTCTAAAATACTATGATACACATGTTTTTTTTTTTTCAATGGAAGAACAATTTCATATATAGTTTTAACTGTTAATGCCTTTATTGTTAGACACATTTATGGATTAGGTAAATGAATTGTGAGGACAAGACGCAAATCTTATGTTCGCCATAACCTGAGATATAGCATTGGATTAGCAAAATACATTTCAAGGTGTAAATATTTGTGTTTTTATTTAAAGTGGAACATTATCTCTTAAATGATAAAGGTTTTAGT